AAGACTTAATCTTTGGGAGCAAAGGAAAGCTCTTTGTTTCAGAATAATGAAAGCAATTAAAAACAAGAAGAAAAAAAATTAGGTGAACTAAAGGATGACCTACGTATTTAAAAATATTTTGCTATTGAAAACACAAGCTGATATTTTTCTTTAGCTCTGTGTTTTTTGGGCGAGATTTATTGTCACAACAGGAAAGTTCCATACCCACTGTTTCCCAAGGAGTTTAGGTTGAGATCTTTTCAGGCTTATTCAGGTTTTACCAAGAATCTTCATGTGTGTACTGGGCCTTACTGTTCATTTTTCCAAAATAGGTCATATTTGCCTCCAGACTGTCTGTTATACAGATCTCAATTTCATATGTCTCCAGAGAAGAAAAAAGATTTTTTTTTTTTTTTGTCCTGTATCATCACCATTATTCATGTCTGGCAATTTTCACACTCATCTCACAAGTATAAATGTTTACATGTAATATAATATTATGTTTAAATGTTTACACGTAATATAAGTTCTGATATGCTTTTCCTTGCTTCTCTGAACTTCTCTGAATGTTCAGTTTTCAGCATGTAGAAAATGCAGATCCAGCAAGTTGATAGTCGTGTGAAACTTAACATGGTCAGTATGTCTTACCCCAAGATGCTAGTAATTCTAAAGTGTGCTTAGATGTATGAACATGGTCTACAAGGAGAATTGTGCAATATGTGAAACTCTGAAGTAAAACAGAAGTAAATCTGCTGAATTCAGTAGGATATTAAAAAAATGAGCATAAGAGGGATTAGATCCTAGATAGCTCTGGGATTTAAAGTATATTCTGTATGTCAATTAAAACGTAGGTGTTAAAAAGTTGAGTAACATATTGAGTAACATTTCTGTAGTCAACAAGTTCACTTTCTGAGTAGTATAAATCTGGAATCATTGTAGGAAGTTACTTTAACCAAAAAAGTAAAGAATAAGGTCTCCTGAGTGTGGGTTCAGCCCAGTTTTAACTTGCTCCTGCCACCTTGGAAAGAGTTACTAGAACTGTTCTTAACTCTTATTTATTTGAATCTTGAGCTATGATTTCTTTGGATATAGTAGTGTCTAGATTATGTTCTTCTTGCTGTTGAGCTCACGTAATAGTTCTAAATTCAGTTTTAAGAAGTTATTTGGAGATACTCCTACCAAAGTCATTCATGTTTTACCTGTGGAATCAATTTTACCAGGTTTACAGAAACAACCACATGCACTAGTGCTAAGCTAATATACATAATGTATTTCTGTTTCTTAAGGGAGATACAGTCAACTACAGCAGCAGTTAGCAGTTCAAATGTTCTGCATTTAAGTATTTCCATCTGCCATGGTTGCAGGATACTCTGTACACATGTTCTATCAATCTGTTAAAGGTGGTGTCAAATGGCCTTGAGAATTTGTCGTGTTCTGATGTCTTTCTAATGCAAAGCACAATTTGCATAGAATCCAAGGTAGTAATTTATGATTCAGCTATCCACAGACAGATGAAGTGTGTATTGCAGGCACTGTTTTATTTGTCATAGTTGTTAAAATGTTGGATTCCTCTCAGTTTCAACGTAGTGAAGTGAAAATCGTGAGAGATGGGAGCTTCTAAGTTAGCATACCAGTCTTAGAGCGAAGCACCTTCCAGAATACCAGGTCCCATTTGGGCTCTCCTCGGCCTTTCTTTGTTTAGAGGCAGGAAGGTTGTAAATCCTGATCTACATATTTCTATTTATGCCTGGTATACTTAAAAATGTAATATTAAATCACTGCAGTATCAGCTGCATCCTGTCTCTCTCACTCTCCCTGCTCCCTTCCTCATTTATATCATCAATAAAAGAAAACACATGTAATCCTTTGGCTTTGCTGCCACCATAGTCATGGCCTGGCAGATGCTTTTTGAACAGAGGGTAGATTTATAGTACTAGCAGTTGCTAACTCCTCTGAAGTCAGACTTAGATGATCTTCCCAATGACCTCCCGTTTTGTTGACAGTTAGCAGGTTTTTCCCTTTGCTTGATGTTTTAACTTTGTCCAACTTCCTTCTAATCTCATCCTTGGTCCCTGTTGTCCTTTTGTGGTGGCATTAGCTTTCTTTCAGACTTCTTGCTGTGGTTTTTATCTATTTTTTTTTTTTTCTGTTCACGTTTAGAGCAGTGGTGGTTATGCCAAGCCAACATCATCTTTTCCATGTTACAAATGTTGCCTTCTCCAAGCATTGTGCAATGGAAATTTGATATGAGGGGAACAAGGGGGAGAGAGAAAACAAAAAGCACAGAATGTTTTGTTTTGAAGAAATGAGTCTCTGAGAATGAAGTGGTCTTCGAAACTGACAAAGTCTTTTTTTTCTGGAGAGAAACTTAGGGCCAAGTTTTGCTCTGGACAACACTACTGATTTTACTGAAATGGACACAACTGTGAATGAAGGGCAGCTTAGCTTAGCGGAGAGAGGGGAGAGGGGGCTGGGTGAATCAGAATTGTGTCTGCTGAAGTCACTGGAATATACAGATGTAAGGAATCTAAAATTAGATCAAAGACAGCTTTGGATGCATTTCATGCACTACATATGTGAATTTGAATACAAATGCCAAGGGGATGATTAGATGTACCCTTTTTTTTTGACATAGAGAATAATACAAATAGCCAAACATAACCTTGGGGAAGATATTACAGCCCAGGTTTGTGACTTCAGCTTCCCAGAGTTTAGAATGGCTCTTTCTCCAAAATGGAATCCTGAAGTCCATTTAACTCTGAAATGAGTAAGATAGTCATAATCAAGTTAACTCTTCAGATACCTGAAGAACAAGATGATAAAAAGGGAGCAAGTACACCTGGTACAGTTTGCAATAATGAATGTTGTCATAGGTGTTTAAGATGTACACATCATATACTTTACTTTGCACTTTCTGTAGAACAACCTACACAGAGAAAGGCTATTTTCAGAGAACTCACAGAAAATATGGTTTATGTTAAGCACAATGCAAAACCAATTAAGGGGGTGTTGCAGAAACCTGCTTTTCATATGGCTTATTCGTACATTTCCTTAAAAATTACAGACCTGCTCCATGAAGTCTTTAGTCAGTCTAGCAAAATTCCCCATGACATGAAGTTTTTGGTCTAGATGGTGATTTTTATTTATTTATTTATTTTTTTATTTTTAAGATCGGCTCAGATCTTTTTTAGGCAATTTGTTATGTTTTACTCTGTACTAGAATGATGGTTATTTTTACGATCGGCTCAGATCTTTTTTAGGCAATTTGTTATGTTTTACTCTGTACTGAAGAATGATGGAAACTACAAAATTCAGATAATGATGAAGAAACACAAAGATGATAAACATGTGTAAGGAGAATCTTGCACAGAAAAGCTCATTAGCGGCTTCCCTTTAGGCCAGTTTGACTGTATGCAGCTGGGAACTGTGTACTCAGCCTGTGTCAGTAGAAAGATTTGTCTTGCATCATACTGAAATGTACTTTATTTATGTCATGATTTACTCATATCTGAAATTGAAATTGCTGGAGAAATGCTTTTCCCTATGTACACAGCTTATGACCTGGTTTTGGTGAGCTAGAGGATTCCTGCCGCTAAAAGTTGAGATGTTTCTGTCTGTGATGCTGCCTTTTGTCGGAAACCTTATGGGAGGGTAGTCCATCGCAACTAGAGCAAAATGAAGAACCCAGTCTTCACCCCTGCTGAGATCTCTGTACCTGCAAAGAGCCGCCCTAAAGAGCGAGCTTGGGACTTACCCAGAACAACACTGATTTATAGTCCATTGTATTACTTGTACGGTTTATCCTGGCAGGATTCAGCAATATATGGAGACCTGATTGTCCCCTACGTACTCAGAATAGGAATTCAATAACTAAAGAATTTTTTCACTTTGTAGCTTCAACACCTAACCTGAGTTGTTCCTTCTCACTTATCCTTGGATCCCACATTCTTTCCCAAAAGACCGTTAAGATTACTGCCTATTATTTGTTAATTCATGGACTTAGCATTTTTATTGCCTTTTGATTTTCGGTCTTTGTTTTCAATTTAATTTAGTAAAAAATGTTTACTTCGTTGCCTAAAATACCTATCTTTAGAACTTAAGCAATACAGAATTAGGGACCACAGAAAAAAGTAGGACGAGAGTGAAATAAGTGTAATTGTTTGATTCAAAATAAAGGTGCCTCTAGAGCATCAAAATTCTAGTGAGGCAATGTGCAGTGCCATAATACTAACTTTTACAAGTAATTAATTTATTTAAATGTTGTTTTCCATATGGTTCTTTTGTAACTTTAGTGGAATAAAGGAGGAATTATACCTTATATAAAAATTTCTATATTAAGGAAGAACTTCAAAGAAGAAAATATTTATATAAGTGGTTTTCCATACATATCTCGAATTATTTATTTGATGTCAGTGAGCTTGCAACTTTCATAACATCATGCATTACAGTAGCTGCTAACCAATAGTTCTAATAAAAATACAGATGGCTTGGTTGCCATCTGCACTTCTTTTGAGATTCTGCAATGAATATGTGATTAACCTTCTGTCACCACTTTTCAAAATAAGTTTTTTCTCTACCACAAGCTTTCCTTGTACCGCCACTTCCTCCCCTCACCTCTTCCCCTGCTTGGAAATGTGCTAACAAACCTGAGGTTTTTATAGACGTCTTACTTGTCTTTATGCTTTAAGCTTTTGTGGAGGATAAAGGAAAGTACATTGGAATTTTATGTTTCTGTACCTTTCACATTACGAAAAACAGACTCCCAAAATGGCTGGGTTTGAAAGACTGGAACAGATAATTAATTCATAAGTGGGTGTTGAAGTGGAAACTGTCAGGCCGCAGCTTTCCCAGCTTTCACTTAATCATTCGAAAGTTGTTTTCTGTTGTTTTCACTGACTGTAATCCCGTAGAGAGAATATAAAACTTGCACCATCCAGCATGGAATTCCATTCCTTTAATGACTTGGGCTCTGTGTTGACTCACTTTCACTCACTTTCACTCACTGTTGTCATTTCATACAGGAAAAGCCGTACCAATGTTCAGAGTGTAACAAGGCTTTCAGTCAAAAGCGAGGCCTAGATGAGCACATGAGAACCCACACCGGAGAGAAGCCGTTTCAGTGTGATGTGAGTTGACCTATCCCTTTGTCTTCTTGACTTCAGTGCAGCAGCAGGACTTAATTGCAGTGAGGCTACGGTCTTGCACCTATTGGCTGTGGCATAAAAGTTACACTTCATACGGTCTTTGATTGCCTAACTAATGAAAGACCATTCAGGGAACTTTATTTACCCTCTTCAGTTGCCAAGAGCGTTGCACACCGTTTTGTTTTATGGTTTTGGATCCCTTAAGAGTTATTTTCACCATTATTAATGCAATTTGGATGTTGCAAGTTACAAAGTCATGCTGGTTGGGTTCCCGTGTAAATTGTATGACAGTTTAATAGTTGGAGATTAGCTTATACAGGAAAAGGCATTCATACACAGGCATTTAATTCATTACAGGGCATCCGAATGCTTCTGATGATGTTGAATGACACGAATATGAATTCAGAATTTCCAATTTCTGTTTAGTGAAGACTGGTCTGATATTTTCAACATCTGCTCATAGTTGTTTGGGTTTTTTTTTATTGTTCAATGAGGAAATCGTGGATGCTGTGTATGTTTGCAGCGCTGAAATGCAGCATATCATATTACGGTTCATAGATCACTGTCAAGTACCTTTCATTCAGCATACCCCATCCTGTATACAACGTATCTCTCAGCTTTTGGAAGGTAGGTGGGGAGGCTGAATGTGCAGAAACTGTTGGAAAAGAATGTCTTTCAGAATTATCAAATGCCAGAATTTAAGTTGTTGCTCGAAGATTTAGAGAAGGGCATCAGAATAGGGTATAGAATTAGCATAGGTGCTTTGTTTTGTGATACTAGCTCTTAATGAACTAGTCACAAGGGAACCGCCAGCTTTCAGTTATATCCTAGATGGCTCAGCCTGAACAATTGTAAATTTGTTCACAAATTTCTAAAATTAGATGCAAAATTAGAATAACCACTTGGCATGAAAGTCACAAGGGTCTGTTAGTTGATCTGGCTTTTAATAAATAATCGGGTGACATTTCATTGAGAATAAAATGTATTAATTTAGTGAAAAACTTCAGCTACAATGTTTTGCTGATGTCTACAAGTCAGGAGATTTGCTGTATTCTTTTGGGATAATCTCAGCCTGGCTCTAGATAGTACCTTGAGGATTTCTCTAATTCCAAATCACCGTCAATAACTTTTTCAGATTGCTATACTGTTTATCAGCTGTTGGCTAGCTTGCAGTGTAAATGCAATTTTTCCCACACTGTGGATCCAGGCTTTGCTGGTCTTGGATTCACAGTGTGCTTCTTCAGACCAATTTGGGGTGGTGGTTATATTTTATTCTTTTTTCTTTCCTTCATTGAAAATAGGAGCTGTATGAAAACACACTTTCCTGCTTCAACTATTCCTTCAGTTTTCCTCATTAATTAGATAGAGCTGGATTATCCCAAATCATAGTATTTCTAGAATCAGCTGTAATCTGTGTCTAGTCCTAGTCTTCCTCTGAGAATCTTTAAGTACCTTCATTTACTGGAGCTGTTTTTTATACTTTAAATTACTGCCACGTTTCACCAAAATTATTCTTCAGCACTAGCCTTTTGCCAGCTGCACACTGCAGAGATTGCTGTCTTTTTGGGGTTTGGACATAAACAGCAGTTGCCTCTACTATTCATTCATACACTCTTCAGTTGCCCCGGTGCCTACCGTGGTCTGCTGCTTAATGCACGCTTGGAGAGTGTTGAAAGTTTTGTTTTCTATAGTTACTCCTTGTTTCATCTAGACTCCACTTCCGCAGATGCTGGGGACATAGTAAATGTCACCCAGAGCAGATCATTCCTCCAGAGCTGTCTCGCACATTGCATGTTACCAGATGTTTCAGCCGAAGTTACAGGAAAACCAGTAGTGGACAGTTACAGGAAAATGTACCTATGGGAGACATTTATTGTTGGCTCCCCAATACTAAAGATTGCTTTTTACACTCAAGTATTCTCACCTACAATTTTTTATCCTGCTAAAGATAGCTGTAGATGTTCTCATTATTTTTCTTATAATGACTAGAGTGGTAATTTATGGCAACAACTTCCACAAATACTTAACTGTGGAAAGAGATTTTGGGGAGGGGAGAGTGTGTCAGGTTACTGCAATGGAATTTCAATAGCTGTCTTTTAGTTCTTTCATTAACAGAAAGGGTTAATAGCTATTCTATTCATTGCTTTCTGAACATGTGCCATGTTCCTTCTTAGTCAACTTCTCTGAAGTGGTTTCTCTTTCCAACACTTTGCATGACGGCTTCCCATGTTCATAATCGTTTTTGTTACTATTTTCTGGATTATTTTTTCCCCGTTTCCATTGCAAGTTTTAGGGGGTGAAGGCATACTATTGGCATGCCCTTACTCATTAAAGTAATTGGAAAAGTCCGTAAGTCCAATGCCCAGACCTACTAAGAATCCTTTTAAAGGTGAAAAACAGGCTATTTTTTCAGCGATTAGCATATTCATAAATGGAATCATACATGAAACCACACTGAAATACAAAAGTCTTAAGACTATTGAGGGTTTTGGTCTTGTTTTCCACCTGGCATTAGAAGCAGTCATAGAAACTATTCAGCTCGTTCTTCTAAATAACATATTAACGTTTGCTGTCAGAATTTTCTTTGTTTCTTAGTACCATTAGCACTTACAAACAGGAATTGCCTTCAGTGCCAAAGAACTGAAGAAAAAACTTTTGGCTATTGGGGGAAAAAAAAAAAGGTGTATTTTATGGGCTCAAGAATAGGCTTCACTTGACAATACACCTCTCCCCACCCAATATAAACTATTACATACCAATTTTTTAGGCTGCGTTTTTGCTTTAAATAGAATTTTCTTCCAGAATCAGAACTAAAAGCCATGTTTTCTCTTCCTCTCTCACTCTCCTCTCTCTCAGGCATATGGAACAGACGTTACAGTACAGGATTGTGCTACATGTAAAAGTAATCCTTGTACCCTGTTTGATGAAGGTGCTACAGTTTACTTACGTGGCTATTTCTGTGTCTTACCAGTCAACAAAAGATTTTCAGAACTTAATGACTCGGAGCTCTCACATCCCACTGATAGTAGTGGAAATTGAATATTCCCATTTTAAGGTGAAAATTCTAGTATATATCACATAGGAAAGTGAAAATAACTGAAATACGGAAATACAAAATGTGTTTTCCTAGTATATTAGATTTTTGTCTTCTGAAGACCAGCCTGTTTTTTACTGGAAGGCCACTTGAACTTCAGTTGCCTCAGAGACAACAGATTATTCTTTGGGGGCAGCAAGGTCAGGTACTGCCTGTCCTGGTTTCTTTCCAGTACAGTATTTCCCTCCACTCTGCCTTTAGTTGACCCTACACTTACTTTCAAATGTCAGTCTTTTCCATCCTCCCTACTCGATCAAAACTTTGATCATTTTGAAGAGATTGATTAGAGTTCAAATGCAGATTAGCAAGCATGGCTATAAATCTATAAAATGTCAGTCTTGCTTATAAAATTGAAATATGAAGCAAACTCTTAAAAAACCCCCAAAAACATTTATGCATAAACACAGCACAAGATGTATCACGTCTTTAAGTAATGATCCTGTGCATTCCATGTTCTTTCTGAAGAAGTTAGGTAGTAGCACATGCTAGAGCCTTGAAGGAACAGCAGGACACATTATACTAGTTGTTACATGAGCATTATAAATGAAAAAAATATACTGTAAGACTGTGTTATAAGATGTTTACTTTAAAAATGAAGAGGCGTGTGTAAGATACACAGAACACATCTGTATCTTGTATGGGTGTATATCCTTGGTCGGCTTCCTGGCTTCTAAGAAACATGTTGTGTTTACAAGTATATGATACTTTTAACATGTTGAGACTTGTGAGCAAGCATGATGGTTATGATTAGATAAATGTTATGAGTTCAAGTTGTGTGTTTTGTGGAAGAGGAATAGAAAATGGTACTTGGCAAAAGCAATATTAAGACCTGACCAGTGGATGCTGTAAGTGACGTTCACTGTCGCGTAACAAAAGGGTGACTGTTGCTTGGGTCTGAAAGAGGTAATTATTCATTTAGGGAAAAAAGTTGGGAGAGTTACAGTTGCTGTATAAAAGTCCTCGGTATTACATCATGTCATAAATTCAAAAATGTTCCATTGCAACAGCACATATAGTGTTCTTGTCTGGGCAAAAATTATTTTGGGTACAAAACTTGCCTCTGGCGGTTGCCCTTTTTATGGTCATTGTATGGTTTTGCCCTAATTGGCATAAAATACATGTACTGCAGGTCAAGATTATCTACTTGGATAGTCAGCTCTATTTGTCTGTCTTGGTTTCGAAAGGAGTCAGTAATTATTCAGCATTTTCATTACTAGTTTGATACCAATATGAATTTAAAACTTCATTTACCTTAAGAGGGATTGTGCTGGGTTCCCTGAGTTTCATCTGCCTGGAAGATATTTTTGTCTGGAATGAACCTGGAATTCTAAGATTGCAAGCCAATGGATGTTCATTCTTATTTAATTATATGACTCTTGCCTATTTCATTTGTCAAATCAGGCGCATGCTTTCTTTTTTTTTTTTTTTTTTTTTTTTCCCCCCCTGGGAAATGTATGCATACGATATGTACCTGGATGGAAGGTGAATGTGACAATATAACTGCATGATTTCAATTGAATTGATGTCTTGCCTACAGATTCTTAACTTTTCATTCTAACTTCTCTTGGCTGAACTTGTTCTTAACCTTTCATTTTGACTTCAGTACAGGAATTTTTATAAGAAGTGATGGTTTTAGCATGGCAGAGTCCCTCATCCCTCTATCCATTTGTTCAAATGGCAGAATGAACTGGACTGCTTGGAGTACAGTGGAGGAAGGGAAGCAGTGCACCAGATAATATAGCAAAGGAATTGCACCTTCATTTGCCAGATGTCTTCTGTTTTCTTGGACAGGCAGAGGAAGACTGGAACAATGAGGTTTCTTCTATAATAATTATTAACCTTTTTTGCAGTCTTCAGAGCCTCTTTTTTCTCACTCCTCCCTCCTTGTAACTAAGCAATTTGAACTGATTTTTTAGGCATCTGCAGATGTCATTCTGGAGGTCAGGAAGGAAAAACTTCATTCGAAGTCAAATTGACAGAGGCTTGTGATGTTTTGTCATAATTTTTGCTGCATCCCGGATAGAATAATAGGTTTTAGAAAAAAACAAAACACAATGTAACTGGGACACTTCAGTGTGTTGATATTTTGAAGATTGGGTCTTTTTTCCCTTCCCTCCCTCTCTGCCCCCTCCCCGTGCCTGTGGTACCACTGTTAATGTACGACATTGAAAGATACCAGACAGAGTAATGAACTTTAAGGTGCTCTCTGAAGGAGTTATTCTTCCAAAGACCAGCTCATTTATTAATATTGCAGGTATGTGTGGCTGTGGCCTCAGTGATGTAACATAAGGAGCTTTATACATGCTTGAAGTTTTAAGACTTCTTTTGTCTTTGTCTTCTGTCTTAGGTTTGTGATCTGTCCTTCAGCCTGAAGAAAATGCTGATCCGACACAAGCTGACTCACAACCCCAATCGACCGATGGCAGAATGCCAGCTTTGCCACAAGAAGTTTACAAGAAATGACTACCTCAAAGTGCACATGGAAAATGTCCATGGTGAAACTGACAGCTAATTATGGCGTGTGTGAGAAGAATGGATCTCACGTTCCAAAGTACTCCATTTGTATGCATACAGACTCCAGACTTCTCACCTGACTAGTAAGCATAGTCAGGAGAAACAACTGTAACGTGTTCACATGTTATTTTTCCCACTTTTTTTTAATGTACTAGTAGGATAAAAACCAAAGACAGACATTCACCTGAAGTAAAACATAGCTTGAAAATAAAAAGTTAAAGGTAAAAGAACTTTGGGAAAATTTTATACTCATTTAAAAAAAAAAAAAAAAAAGGAAAAGCAAAAAAAAAAAGCTTTAAGCAGACTTCACCTTCTCAATTACAGCCTTAGAAACTTAGATATTGGTAGTGTTACCTGGAAATCCTGGACATTTGGAACTGAACCCTTGGCTGTCTGCAACTGTTTTTCTGTATCTAAGCTTCAAGACTCCATTAAAATTCTTTAATTTGAAACCATGTAGAATTTGTCATTCTAATTGACTGCTGATTGCATCCAGGCATATTTTATTCAGATCTTAATTCTGCATTTTGTTGTAACATGATTTTGTCTCATTTTATTTACAGCTTTCTCATTACTAGATGAAACTCATTAACTTGAATTGGTTCTTGAGATGCCAAAATGTATGGGTACAGAAACTGTGGAAATCTGTCATGTTAAGTATTTCTGTATGAACATTGAGGAGGATGTATTTCTTCTGGTTACGCGAAACAAGACTGAAGTGAAAACTTTGAGCAGTTTAGTTTAAGTACTATATTCATACTCATCATTGTGACTGGCAAGGCAAGTGGAAAGAGACATCTTAACAGAGTGGCTTGAGCAGCTACAGTCGCCTAGTGTATTTGATTTCCTGGTGAACAGCTGGTTCCCAGAGTGTTTCTTCCTGCTGAATCAGATGCCCTGGATTTCTTCATCCCACTTAACTACCTTTGTTTTCTTAATTCTGTTAAGGAGCACTGGCAAAAATACTGCTTTACATCTAAGTAACAATCAAATTCTTCACGTTATCAGATTGTTTACTGCAGTAAAACTCTTGAAAAGAGTTCCCACAGGCCCTCTTGTACCAGAGCTAGATAACCAAGAAATTTTTATCTACAAGGACAGTAAAACTGTAACTTCAGAGGGTGATTGCATGTGAAATTCCTGAGTTATCAGCAGTTAACGTTAAGGCTCTGTCATTAGTAACAGTAAACTGTTCATATTCATTTTGGACCGGTCAATGTTTTGTAAAATGAACTTGCATTGGGACATCTTGCTTCTAGTTTTCATGGGAAAAGAATTCAGCTTCTCTCTGAACTACAGCGGGGACAATTATGCTGAAATGAACAGCATAATTCTTTATCTCATGGTAGAGAGATAAATCAAATCTACTCAAATCTATTTATCACATGGTAGATTTTCTACTCAGAAGAGCGAAAAAGAAATAGCAATAGTAGTATTGCTAGCGATGGAAATAGCTAGCAATAGAAGATGTTGATATATTTAGTGATTAACACTTCCTTCCTTCTCTACTAATAGTTTGGATCCCATTCTTCTGCCTGGACATCTGTACATTACCTGTTTGGTTTTGACACCCGGCACTGGATCCCAGTAGTAATCTTTTCCAAAGCCATTACTTTTTCCAGAAAATAAGCAGAAGACACTTTGTGTTTTTCTCAGAAGCTGAAGAAGGCATGCCACTAATAGGGGTAATTACAATTACAGGGCCTATATCAGAGGGTCTTAGTTTTTTCTAGGAAGCCTCCTGTTCTGTTATGAGACTGTCTTCAACCTCCTTTCTTTTCTTTTGGAAGCCTATAATGCTCCTTGACAACAAACTAACAAGTTTACAGGTGTCCTTCCCATTTACAAAGAAGTTGTACACTCAAGTTTACAGGTTCCCTTTCTTAACGAAACCAGGTCACTTACTGCTAGCAATTCTAACAAAGTTGATCAGGGACAAGCAGGAACTGTTACTGTTTTCAGCATTACAGAAAACTTCAAAGTGATGTCTTCCCGTTTATTTCAAAGGTCCTGGGCTCAAATTACATATGACTAGTTAGGCTTGAATGAGCCACCTGCAAGGCAAAGGGGTAACCTTCAGCTGTATCTGCAGACTTGAAATCGGAATCCAGTGTCCCCTAGGCTGATCTGAATTGAAAAAAGAATAAAGCGTAGTAAAACAACAGACACATGGTCCGGACCGTAATGTAATTGTATGGAATAGGCCACAGCGGTTACACTGATGTAAATTCATGTGAAGAGGATCCTGGAGAAGACTTGCGTGTGGAGAACCCAATTTCATATAATGTTGTTCTGTAATGTGTCGGTTCAGCGTGGAACAGGTGACTTAGGTGTTGCAGTGGTGTGTGACAGAAAAGTGTATTACTACATGGATGTGTTATGTAGTTTTGTGTTATGTTGTTAACTTCTATGGTGTTATGTAATAACCTTTATGCTCTTTTAAATTTTAATTAAATATAGAACTTATTTTCTTATATTTTTAGTAGTTTTTTGCAGTGTTAGTTTTGAAGGCAAACTGCATGGTTGATGTTTCATGAATTATAATTATTCAGTAATACTTGAATATTTTATTGCATTCAGTTTGCCCGTTGAAATGCATATACTTAATTGTTTCTAACTATTTTATTGCATTCAGTTTGCCCGTTGAAATGCATATACTTGTTTCTAAATTGTTTAGGATTCCTGCAGATTTTGAAGGAGAAGCGTAATCATGACTATTACACTTGTTTGTGACAACCACCTATGTGTAAAAGCATGCTAAGTCTTCTTCATGCCCTTTTTGTTTCCTCAGAGGTACGTGAAACTTGGAGTCTTTGCCAGTTCCATACAAATCATTTGTTCGTATAAATCAAATATATTGTATGCGTATAAAGACAAATGTAGTAGAAACAGGCATTATAAAGTTGAGTAAAGAATACTTCCTCTCCTTATTTGGAGAGCTTTTGTTACAGAGTTTATCAGACTAGTATATATCTAAGTCCAGAGAACTTTAACTTATTGCTAGAGTTATTATAAAAATTAATATAATTTAAGTGTTCAGGTAGCAAAATCAATCAGTACCATATACTGAGATGTCTGATGGGGTTGTAACTATATGTTCTTAATCATCTGCAAGGAGAATTAGGTTGGGTACTTTTCTTGACATGTCTGGGGTGGGACAACATTGCAAAGGTGACTTTTTTTTTTAATTTGTTTGCCTTTTTGACATCAGTAAAATCAAGAATTTAGTCATAGAAAAATTGAGATTACTTTTTTTTTTTATATCTGTCTTCCTTTATATTTTCCCTTCTTCCATTTGGTCAGTACAAAAGAAGTCACAGAGAACAGCAGAAGAAAAAAACCCTAAAAAACAAAAAAAGAAAGAAGTTCAAAAGTGAAGATTTTCTAAGCAGTTTTTGAGGGACAATGCTATTAAAGCACAAAGAAGAAAATCCTTTTTGGGGGAAAAAAAATGGATAATTTAATATATTTTACATGTTTTACATAGGGATTTTGCCAGAGATCTTTGCTGCAAAGTTGTGTTACATGTTTAGGATTAATAACTGTATTTGAGGAAAAATAGCTAGTTGCTGAAAGTCAGTACATGAAGAGGAGAATGTACTTTTTTTGTTTTTAATTATTGCTGGATAAATTACAATATACATATTAAGATTAATCATGCTGTATGTAATCAATAGCAGCAGTTAACTGACTGAAGCTTTGATCTTGTTAATGGCTTCAATAGAACAAGGGATAGACAGGATCAATGTGCGAGTGAAAGACCTTCATGGGAAACACAAGAAGTAGGTGCAGGAGGTTGAAGCCCGGCTCCAGGTGATGACTCTTCGATCGTGTCCTCCGGGAACTTTCCTTGTGGGCTAAAGCGGCTGCAGATCTGCCTGGGCTCCTACAGAGCCAGCACCTGGCTCGGCAGCTGCAGGTGTCTCCACGGCAAGAACTGCCCCGTTCTTTCCATGAGGTGCTTGAATTTCTCGCAGTCGGAGGTAATATGTTTCAGATTACTGAATTCGTGGTGGTGAACTGTATAATTGAGTTTATATGCAGTGCAGACTTACCATTATGCAATACATTTCTATTTGGTCATAGCTTTCTTAAAAGCAACAACCACAAAAACAAAACCAAAGAAAAAACCCAAACCAACAAACCCTTCTCCTTTGAGTAAAAATTTCCATTGACAGTCTCCCACTTGGTATTGCCTTTGGAAAAGATAGAGGACATTCCCTTCAGCTGATTTTGAGAAATGAGAAATTGAAACCTGTTGGTTTAAAGGCAATTGTTTTGTTTTTTTTTTTTAGTGTGTGTGTTTGTATGTTTGTTTTGCTTTACTGTCTACTATGACAAACTGACAAAATTGATCGTTAGTTAAAATACTGACACTTCCATGGTAAGTTGTGCCATTCAGAATAACATGAAAAGCTAGAGATATTCCTGAAATAATGTGTAGTCACTGAAATTTTAGAAGGCTGTGATTTTCACACACCCCCACCCCCACATTGTATAATTCTCCGCAGATCGTAACATTCAATTTGTTCTCTTTATTTTTCCATTATAGTTAACCCCCGTTGGAGAGAACTCTTAGGAACTGTTAGGAACAGCAGCAAACTTGCTTGTTCCATTTGCTTTCCATTCTGATCAGATGTACGGCCAAAAGCTGATACAAATCATTAATATGATAACATTAACAAGTGCAAAGGATATTTATAATTCTGTTTTGTCTCATATGATTGTGAAGGATTTGATGCATCCTTTAGTTTACACTAGCAAGTTCTAATTAGAAATCAGACAAAGGAGGAAATAGTGTAAGTTAATGTGTGCTGGGCGTTTTATGTCGTTATATTTGAATGTACAGACATTGTGTGGTCAAAGCAATTTGTATGTTCTGTGAGTTAATTTGTGATGTTGTTATAAGAATATGTTTCTGGTCTGTGTTTTAAATTGCAACCTTTAATGCTCTGCATTTGTGTCAATATGTACCAATACCGTTATTCATCAAAGACTCTTGACTATAGTTTATTTTAATTTTTCAGTTTAAAAGACATGGCATAATAGTCCCTCTAAAGCATCACTTTTAGAGGTGGAGGAGCTCAGCGTGCTGTTGTCAGTGTATGATCAGGTTATAATAAAATGTTTTAAGTTCAGTTACATACTCGTTGCACAAAAGTATAGGGGTACCCTTCACAGTGAGATTTGAAATCTGCCTATTTGATTTTTTGGGCTAGT